AAAACAATTAGATAAGTGGCGCACCAGGAACATGACTGGGATTGTTGTCGATCGCAAATGGTTCATCGATTTTTTCGACAGGGTTTATCGAGAATACAGACACTTGTTTTTTGATGCCTACTTTCATGAAGAGCGCGTATCCACACCCCGTTAGTGCTTCGTTTATTCCCACATCAAACCGCTCACCTTTCAGCTTATTTATCAGCTGGAGGTCACTCATTTGGCCTGAAATTAATTCTTCGTTAGAGTATTTGTTCTGTTGATATCACTCTTGTCGTTCGCATTCTTCATTACTGTTTATATCAATATTCAAATTCTAATAAGACCTTACTTTCACACAATTGATCCTCAACTGTTCTGAGCCATTTGGCCATCTGAAAATATGTAATTATTTGTTCAAATGTAATATTGGAATAATGAAAGTTACATTCTTGTCAAACTTTTCCTTATCTTTTAGAATGAATGTGACCAATTACTGGTCTAAACCGAATGGAATGAAACCACAGACACGGTCAACGGCAAAGATTGTTTGCACACTTGCAGCCTACACTTCCACATACTCGCTAATGAATGTGACTAACACTAAGAGAGCATCTCAGTTCGGCAAGTCCATATGCCCAAATATTCGTAAATGCTTGTTCCCGTAGACGTGATAATGTCTCAAAGTCTGATCGTCTTTCCATTACTCTCGCCAGTTTAGTACCATTCGATAATATACTGCTATCGTAAGCCGGTGTATAAAATACCTTCAATCAATTTTATCAATGAAATTGATCATTGTTACCGCTATATTTTTATCTAAAACCGATTGTGAATGATAATAATCATTGATGCTGAGTGGATTTATTCCGACTAAGATGATGATGGGGATGATTATGAAGAGGGATGTTGACTTAATAACTTACAACTTCATGACCTGCCGTAACTAAAGCATCTGCGATGTGACCCATGAAGTTGAAGTGACTGTGCATTATTTTTGGTGCGTAGATCAGAATTTTGTAGGATTGTGAGTATTCGATGAGTAGAATACCCAAAATCATCAAGAGGTATCGCATTGCTCAGATTTTGGGATGCAAAGCCTGAAATAATTGATGGTATGGCATCAATATATCAATATAGTAACGACGCGAAGAAGTGGTCAAGAAGTGTGCTGAAAAATATCGAAAGATTTAGTTTGATAGGAAATGAATAATCAGTCAAAGTTGAAGTGTAATAAAGTATTCGAATTGGAAGAAATAAGGTTTGAAATGCAAGTGAACTGATGTTGACGAGTGTTTTGTAAACTGATTATATGAGACGTTTGAATTATGAATATATTAATTGTGATAATAATACGGTAAAACTGGAATTCTCACTGTAAACGATTGCAATTCTTCAACATGATGACACTAATTCTGTTGATGAAACAGGTTACGAGTTCTGTCTTGCTTTCGACCAAAGATCAAGATTTTAGCTTTGGACAATTTAATGTATTTTCAATACAAAAAAGTTGTTGCAACTGAACTAAACAGGTTTTGACTAGTAATCACGTCTTTTTGTTGTAGTGAAAGTGATGTTTTCGGAACAGATCAATGAACAACTATTTTGTGTTCACTTTCATTAAAACAAAAAAATGCAATGACTTGTCAAAACCCGCGTAGTTCAGCTGCAATGACTTTTTCAGTTGCAATGATCATTCCGGGAAAGATGTACATATGCAAGCTAGCACATCAACTAGATAAGTGGCGCACCAGGAACATGACTGGGATTGTTGTCGATCGCAAACGGTCCATCGAATTTTTCGATGGGGTTAACTGAAAATGCGAACACTTGTTTTTTGATGTCTACTTTCATAAAGAGCGCATATCCACATCTACACAACGTTAGTGCTTCGTTTATTTCCCACATCAAACCGCTCACCTTTCAGCTTATTTATCAACTGGAGATCACTCATTTGACCTGAAATTAATTCTTCGTTAGAGTATTTGTTCAGTTGATATCACTCTTGTCGTTAGCATTCTTGATTACTGTTAATATCAATATTCAAATTCTAATAAGACCTTACTTTCACACAATTGATCCTCAACTGTTATGAGCCATTTGGCCATCTGAAAATATGGAATTATTTGTTCAAATGTAATATTGTAATAATGAAAGTTGTTTTCTTGTCAAACTTTTTCTTATCTTTTAGAATGAATGTGACTAATTACTGTTCTAAACCGAATGGAACGAAACCACAGACACGGTCAACGGCAAAGAATGTGTGCACACTTGCAGCCTACACCTCCACATACTCGCTAATGATTTTGACTAACTCTAAAAAAGCATCTCGGTTCGGCAAGTCCATATGCCCAAATATTCGTAAATGCTTGTTCCTGTTCATGTGATATTGTCTCAAAATATGTTGGTCTTTCCATTATTCTCGCCAGTTTAGTACCATTCGATAATATACTGCTATCGTAGGCCGACGTATAAAATTCCATTAATTAGTTTTATCAGTGAAATTGATCATTGTCACTGTTATATTATTATGTAAAATCAATTGTGAATGATAAGAATCATTGATGCTGAGTGGATTTATTCCGACTAAGATGATGATGGGGATGATTATGAAGAGGGATGTTGACTTAATAACTTACAACTTCATGACCTGCCGTAACTAAAGTATCTGCGATATGGCCCAGGAAAATGAGGTGACTGTGGAATATTTTTGGTGCATAGATATGAATTTTGTAGGATTGTGAGTATTCGATGAGTAGGATACTCAAAATCACCAAGGGGCATTGCATATCACAGATTTTGGGATGCGAAGCCTGAAAGAATTGATGGTATGGCATCAATGTATCAATATAGTATAGACAGCGTTCTTCAAAGTGTTGTTCTTAACAAATCTTCTCGGAAAGGGTTTTTATTTTATGTTTTTTCTCACTCATCACATCTGTACCGAGTGTGATATTTATTTGTGTTGACAATCGCTAATGTAGCAACTGAAATGCTAGGTATTGAGGTGTGGTGGACGAAGATTAGTAGTGAAACTGTGGTTATTATTGCTTTAAATAAGATGTGCGAAAAACAATTGGCTGGATCAATAATTAATATAATAATGAGGATCGACAGCAACACAATATATTCAGACTTCAAATATCTCCTCAGACTTCATATTGAGCTGACAAGGAAAGGTCACGAACTTACCCCAACCTTTCAGGATGAAACATATATCTTTTTGTAGAGCTCGTTAAGCTGATCATGGATATGCAATTATTTTTTGCTAAACACAAAGGAGACGCGAGATATGGCGGGAAAAAGTTTTCAGTGTATTGGTGGGAAATGACATTCTGAATTTTCAATGGGCGTTGGCGGTTTGGCCTTGCGGATAGTGAGCAGGAGTCAAGTCTGGACGCCAGGTAGTTCGGTTCCGCATGCTCGCGAAACTTCCTTTTTCTTCAAATTGTGGATATATTTTTATTTTCTTGTTTTTTTTTCAATTTTGCGACAATTTGTGACAATTTTGTGACGTCGGATAACATAGATGATGGTGTCCTCGCTATTCCGGATGAAGTTTTTTTCAGCCACGGTAAACTCATTAGTGCATCGCATGTTCATCGCGCAATTGTCACAAAATTGAGAAAAAAACAAAAAAATAAAAAATAGAAATATACACACAACTTGAAAAAGCTGTCGGGAGGACAGTACAGTAGCAATGGTGCTTGAATATACTATGGATGTATGAGAAAAAAGTTCTGCGAGCACGCGGAACCGAACCACCGGGCGTCCAGACTTGATTCTAGCGCACTACCCGCCAGTCCAAATCGCCGATGCTGGATGGAAATTCCGAACGTTACTTCAGTACAATGAAAAGCTTTTTCCCGCCATATCTCGCGTCCCTTTTGCGTTTAACAAAAAATATTTGCATATTCATGATTAGCTTAACGAGCTCTACAATATGACGTATGTCTCATCCCGAAAGGCTGGGGTAATTTCGTGACCATTCCTCGTGAGTGTTAATCACAACATTCAGTCTGACTATGAGTCAATTGCTAATTTTGACTCTACCAAATACTATTATATTTGAATATCTCGATTGTTGACCAGATGTTTGGAAGTCCTGTTCCTGTAATGCACTGTCTAAAATCTATAGTATTCGCTGTTTCCAAGATCTATTCTTATCTTAGCAGAACAATAATCCACATCTCAGATAACATCTGTGCGATTCGACCAATCAATTACAATATTTTAACACAGTGAAAAATTGTTGGTTCTCTCATTACCAATATCGCATTTGTTCATTGATTTTGAATTATTGTGCTAGTGGTTTTCTTGTTTCTTTACTTCGTGTTTTCTTTATTTGTAATTTATTGTCATCAATAAAATCATTGTTTGATTACGAAGCTGTCATTGTGCTCTCCTTGTTCAAGTCAACGGATTATTCGAATCGGAATATCAGATTTCTATCTTTTTGTCGCGAATTCAACGACACGGCCATTGTGCTAACTTCCGGATTTGGTAGCAACGAATAAAGAAGTAACAGTGAATATCGAAAGTCAGTCCTAAATGAAGTCGACAACCGACTTTTGGATTTAGCTGTTCAGGTACAATGGAAACGATGTAGAAAACAAGAACGCATAATGGAAGAACAAATTGTAGCACAACTCAGAACGGATGAATGCACGCAAGAATGCAGGAATGAACTAAACAAGCAGGAACGAATCAATCAAGTCAGATGTAATAAAGTGTTGTGCATCATCTTTTTCTGAACATGAAGTTGAAAAAATTTGTAAAATGCTCCAATGAGATTGAGCAGATCCTTGCCATTCTAAAACCCCCATACGAACTCAAAAAACTCGATCGGAATGAAATAACAGACTTATGCAATGCACTGGTAGTTTTCGAAATTGCTACGAACACATTGTGTCTTCAAGATATCAATTTGCTCAAAGCAGATAAAACGCTGGGGTTCTTCTTCGATGCATTAAAGAAATTGAATACGAATATCCTAATGACCTCTTGCGTGCACTTGTGGTAAGGATCAACGAGCGTAGAATACCAATTCTGGTGCAATTGATAAGATGCATGAACGATCCTGATTACATGCATACAGGAACAGATTGTATTGGGTATGAGATTGTGAGAGAAAATATTGTGAAGTTGATGATGGATTTGTCTTTGAGACTCTTTGGTAGGACGAGATACCAAAATGGTGACGTTGCGTGTCTCTTCTCTTCTCAGAATGACGACAATATATCTCGTTCAAGTAAAATAGAATTGGTGCTGAATCCTGAAACTTCCAAAAGGTGTAAAAGTTCCGTAAGCTGTATCAGAAGCAATGACGTGAAGAGCAGAGTAAACTCTGGAACGCATTTGTACGAAGAGGCAAATGAAATGGCATCGAATATTTAAAAAATTGTCCAAGTCTACCAAAACCACCCAGCAAAAAGTGTCGAATGTGAGCGCGCTTTCTCGCCATTGTGCCATTTATCTCAAAACTGAAAACGCGAATGAACGAT